ATAAAAATGTTCAAACTACGGTACCTAAAAGAACTTCAGTCCACTTCTATTTACATTCCCTTTTCATCATGTATCAGTATAGAACTTAGCACAGTTGGTCGTAATCTTTGATTGGTGCCCCTCGTGTAACGCAAAAAATAATAATAGTGGTAGACAGCCCAGTTTTAATATTTTATTCACTCCAGTTTGTGATCCTGGAATTTCTGAACGGTCCGGAGGTAAAATTTTCACAAGTGTACATAAGGAAAAGATGTTAAAATTTATTTAGGTGTTGGAAAATGCCTATATACCTCCAGTGGGATTTTGAGTCTCTAATTTTTAATGAGCTCCAACAACTATTCAAATGTGTTAACAATGTCTAGCATCAAGAGTTTTGTGATCAGCTACAATATTTCCTCCTTTTTTCTTTCAATTTAACAGAGTGTGCAAAATTTTTTTTAGGTTAGTATTTTCTGGTTTGTGGCAATACAGTTCTTGGGCTGGGAGTGAGTTTATATTCACATAAGGGTCAGGTAGCATAGTACAGTGAATCCATGTAACAGCTTTTTCATTATTTTTATTTTTGTGCTTGTCACTGCAGAGCACAAAACTCATGTCATGAATTCTGCATTTGTCAGCATGAAAAAAATAAATAGTAATTATGAGGCAGACATCCCAACAGCCATCTGAGTTAAACATTTAACATCCAGGTAAAGGGAACAAAATGTTCTTCAGTTTCAGGTAATTGTAATGGTTGCATGATATTTATTTTCCTTCTGTACAATACCTATTCTTGATTAAGTGAAGGTTTCTGTACTCCACTGTTGTCACTTTAAACCCCTGGGATCTGTAAGTGTAGGTACAGCATTAACTGGGCTTCTGATCTCAGCCGATGAAGTAGGCTGATAATTGTGGCTGCTGCGAATGACCACTATAGGGAGAGGGAGGCAGAAGTCCTTGTACTACAGGTACAATGTTTCTAGAAGATAATGCCTAATAGAGTTTAAAGGACTGATTTGCGTGTAAGGATCTTGTCTTGTGCTGGGAATGAGAGAAGCAATATATGTGGAGAAAGAGTACTGCGAAATGATTAGAAGTAACATAAATAGTGAAATAATTATTGAAAACCTATCATATCTGGCCACAGCAGTCTTACTGAAGGAATATCGGGACTCGGAGAAACCATCCTCAAACCACTCACCGGACAAAGGGCCAGCTTCCTCCAGGACACAACAGACTTCCTCCAGAAACTCCACAACATTGTCATTCTCCCTCAACATTATCATTGTCACCTCCCTATACACCAACATCCTTCACAATGATGGCATCGCTGCGGGCCTCAAGTATTTACAAGATAATGGACAACCCTCAGATACCCACCCCAAACACATTGCCAAACTCATCTATTTCATCCTCACCCATAACAATTTTATGTGCAACAACAAACCATGGGAATAGCTATGGACAGCTCCCCAATATGCCAATCTCTTCATGGGCCACCTTGAAGAAGAATTTCTGGACAAATGCACCACGAAACCAATTATATACCTGAGATACAATGATGATATTTTCATCTTCTGGACAGATGACCTAAACTCGCTCATAGATTTCCACCACAACTTCAGCAACCACCACCCTTCCATTAAACTCTCTCTGCACCATTCCCACATTAGTATAAACTTCCTGGACACCACAATCAGCTTAAACAATGAAACCCTACCGACAGATATACAAGAAACCCACGGATCATTACACCTACCTTCACGGATCTAGTAACCACTCCAAACACATCAAGAAGAAATTTGTTATCTACAGCCTGGCACTCAGATACCCCAGAATATGCTCAGAGGAGAAAGTTTGGGATACACACCTTAACAAACTTAGAGACCTTCACCAAACAAGGACACTCCACCAGAAAAGAAGATGGCATCATGGAACAGGCCACCGAAATACCCCAAGAGAGCCTAATTCAATAGAGATATCAAACCCACTCCAACCACATATCCCTAGTTGTCACTTATCACCCTGCACTGGAACCACACAGAGTTTCATGAAACAATTATCACACATATTTGACAGGGAACCATCCTGAAAGAAATCTTTCCTGAGCTTGCTCGTTTGGCCTTCAAACAATTCCCAGCGTCTTCAAGCTCATAATCAGAAGCAAGCTCCCCACAGACCAGGACAACAGATGCAAAACCTGTAGATGTATTTCCACAGCTACAATGATCAGCACTCCACACAACACATCTTTCAAGATCCCTGGGACCTACGCATGCTATCACCACTTGTGGTGTATCTCTTCTAGTGCACTAAATGCCCCAATAACAACTGTGAAACAAGACAATCACCCTGCTATCGAATGAACCTACACAGAAAAATGATAAGTCAAAAAATCTATTTCACCTGTGGATGAATAATTTTCTCAAAGTGATCACTCTATAGCTAACCTCTGTTCTAATCCTCAAAGGAAACCTGTACAACATCTTTAAAAGATGAGCCTGGAAGCTTACATTCATAACTTTGCTGATACTAAAAATCAGAAACTGGATAGATACATTGGATTTATGGCTTATTACAACAATCTATAACCCACTACCTCCCTCACCCCAGCTTTTCCCCTCCCTCTTTCCCCATAATGACTGGAGAAGTGAATGGGTCACTTCACCTTGAATGGTCCCTTTAAATATTTAACTACTTATGCTAAACAATCTATTTCATTTTGTATTTAGCTGTGACATACTGAGTACATTTACTAGACCTGAAGAAGAGCTCCGTGTAAGCTCAAAAGCCTCTCTCTCTCTCTCTCTCTCGCTCTCTCACTGGGAGAGGTTGGTCCAGTAAAAGATTACCTCACGCACATTGTGTCTCTAATGATTTGCCATTGAAGTCATCAAGTCCCTGGGCCAATCTTCTGTGTGTATGTATTTCTCTGTATTTATTTTGCTCTGTCTCTTATAAAGTACATTAATCTCTACTGTATGACATTTAGCCTTATGATGCACCTTAAGCTGGTGCACTAGAATAACAATGTGACATTCCTAAGGAGAATAGGGCCTGAACCAAAGCCTATTGAAGTCAGTGTGAGTCTATCCATTGACTTGAATGCACTTTAAATTGGGCCCATATTGCAAACACATTGGACCTAGTACTGCAGTGCTTCAGAGGCTAGTACAGTTGCTGTTGACCTCAGTGGGAGTTTAGTCTGAGCATGGACTAAAAAATAACTGCAGAATTGGGCCTACTATGTTGTCTGGTGTAGATTCACTAATATGGCACTTCTTGCAAAAATGTATATGTTGTCTTCATTTAGAAGAATGTATTATCAACTAAACAAGTAACTGAATGGTCTGGCTTTATCCTAGTCATACTGAATGTAATAGTGCCTGGAGTTGAACGTATATTAGATCACCCTTTTTCTCCTTTTTTTAAATCACTCTGCTTCCCCCATATACTTCTCATTGTAAATAATGACATGCAAGATTAAATACACAGAGACAAAATGCAAGATTATTCACTATGTTTTTAAGCAACATTTCAGGTGATTCTGGGAGTGGCTAATTTCAGCGATTTGCCTCTAACCTTAATATCCCACAGTTGGCTGGCGTGGGGAATGGAAACAGTAGAATATCAGACAACCCAAACTGTACCTCTCCAACTGGAGTTCACAGAAGTGAATATGATTTGTCTGGCTATCCACTGGCTACACCACCAGCATGTTCACTTTGCCTCTTTCTAAATGGTAGAGACACATTTTGGAGGCCTTCTAGGCAGTACATTTAAGACTTACATGGGTGCGGATGTCCCTTCAGGACTTGATCCACAGTCCTTTTATCTTCTCGGAAACTGGTTCTTTAGTTGAACTACATGGAGATGGGTGTTGGGGGCAGAAGCATGATGCCAACAAATTGCGCTATTATGTCTTACTTCCCAAATTTGGTTTTCACTTTGATGACTTCCAAAAGTGTTGGGGAAATGAAGTAACCAAATCCCAGATCCTGACTTTCTCAGCTGGTCTTTGCCCACCCACAAAAATATTTACCAGTTTGTGAGTGGTTTGGTTCTGCCCAAATTCCTTTTTTATCCTAAGTTTCCCAATATTTATATCTTATATGAATAGGCAATAAATATATATTGATTGTTGGTATGAAAAACAAAGCATGTAGTCCTAATTTAAATTGGAGATAAAACTACTGTTTTGTTTGTTTCACCTTTAGTTTTGCAGAAACACAGAAAATATATTCCTGTGAGAAGACATTACAAGAACAAAATCATAATTTTACAGATAGCAATAGTCACATTTTTTATGTAAATATAAATACTCATGATCCTATAAGAAAAGTGCCAAAAGGAAGTGGCAAATAAATTTTTACTTAGGTTATTAGTTCATTTAATTTTTCTGTAGCTCAGTTCAGCCATAGGGGCAATTTTTATTCTGCTAAACTGGGGACAGATTTTAATATTTTTCCTCCAGGCATAGCTCTGTTAATTTCACACAGATAACCTGTGGAGTAAGATACATGAATGCAGGTGAGATAACCTGGCCCTCTGGATTTAAATGAGAGCAGAATTTGGCCTATTGTGCTTATCCAGTCTGTGGGCCAGGCTCTGATCCCCTTACTCATGCTGAGTAGCACCTTTCTCCACAAATAATCCTGCTGATGTCAATAGGGCTATTTAAGTAAGGTGCATGTGGGAAGGACTCAGCATGTGGAGGTGTATCAAAAACTGGTCATCGATGGTTGTATGAATGTGTGCCTTATCACAACGGGATGGGGGAAGCTATCATAAGACATTCTGCAGTGTACTTAATTTCTCAGTTTCACCATTGGTACAACTTAAAAGTGAAGGTAGTTTGAAGTTGTACACAGTATTGCAGAGACTATTAATTCAAAGAGCTTTCCTGTTGTTAATTTTTGAATCTAATCATTGATATATCACCTAAGTTTGAGAGCTCCCAATACTCTGGTTCAGTGTTGATGGCTGATCTTTCTGAATGCTTGCTTTGCTTTCATATACAGGATGTTCTGAATAACTTGGGTTCCTGTGAGTTGGATGAAGATGACCTCATGCTTGATTTGGAATTCCTAGAAGAGCAGCATCACCATCGTTCTGGTAAGTCATACAAACATTGGATATTTACAACTTGAATATTATGTATGTAATGTAACATAAAGGAAAAAATTAAGTGCACTTACTTAGAAGTAATAAAAATTAATTGAGGAGGGGGGAGAGGATTATGCATTTAGCAGCTTAATGGTTCTAATTGCCTTTGGGAACTGGCATGCAGGATATCATGTTCTTTACACTTCAGTTGCTGATTCCTTGCTTAACATCATTTGAGATGCTGTCATTACTTGGAGATCAAGCCTTTTTACTATGGATCACTTCATACGGCCAATTATCACACTGAGGCAATTTTTACAGATGCAAAAGAATCCCAATTGCACAGCATCAAGGACAGAATCGTTTGGTTTTCCATGGTTAAAATGACTAGTGCCTACCGCGGAGCCACCAAAAGGCCACCGCAGATATTAGTGAGCCCGTTTTGTGTGTGTGTGTTAGAATATGTCTTAGCATGGTGCTTAACCCTTTGTCACACTTACTTTCAATTAATGTTTACTAATATAGCTATAAAGAATATGAACTTCTCTCACTACTTGTTTTTATGTGCAATTTGATCTTCTCTTTTTACTTTTAGTTATACTGTGTAATCTGAATTAATTCCAAATGACCAGAACTGTTGATGGTAGGCAACTAACAAACTCTAATGCTTGTAACCACAGTCAACTCAGATTGTTTTCAGAGCCATGTTGTAACAGGATAAATGAGATCTTGATATGTACTGGCACCTCACAGAGCGGAATTCAGCATTCACTGAGCTTTGAAATTAAGTCATTTAGGCCCAGATTTTTAAAGGCATTTAGGAGTTGCTGCACTAAGTATTGCCTGTCGCATTTTCAAAAGACTAAATCTTCTGAAGCATCTAAATCCTTTAAAAAATGAGGCTTAGGCTCCTAAATCAGTTAGGCATTACAATTCTGAGCACAGCAACACTTAAATACCCTTGGAAATCTGGGCCTAAATGACTTAATTGAAACCTGATTTAAGTCAACAGACAGAGTCCCATTGACTTCCAAGGGCTTTGGATCAGCCCATAATGCATATGAGATTTACTCCTTGCAACAAGTAGAGCTGGGGTTTGTAGCTGTTCATGACACACTATCTGACCTAGTAACAATAAAATTGGTTGAACTGTGTTCGCATGGTGTTTTTCTGCAACACAGTTGGATAAAATATGCGTGCAAGATGCTTAACATGCTGCTAACGCTGTTTGCATCACTGCATTATGGGGAAAGACTGAGTAGCTATTCCACAGTGTCTCAATCGGAAGCAGAGTAGCCAGAGGACATGCATATGGAACGGCAGTACCAGCAGTACATGTCCTACTTGCACTATCCTACTGAGTGGAGGGAGGATGAGCTGAACTGGGTAAACATGGACAGAGTCCTATATAAACAGCAAATGAACAATGCCACAAACTGGTTATAGCAGGGGTGGCCAACTTGAGCCTGAGAAGGAGCCAGAATTTACCAGTGTACATTGCTAAAGAGCCACAGTAATATGTCAGCAGCCCCCCATCAGCTCCCGCCCTCCATTCCCCAGCGCCTCCCACCCACTGGCAGCCCCGCCTATCAGTGACTCCCACCTGTCGCAATCAGTTGTTTTGCATGTGCAGGAGGCTCTGGGGATGAGGGGGGAGAAGTGAGGGGATGGCAGGCTCGGGGGAAGGGGCAGGGGCCTTGGGGAAAGGGATAGAGTGGGGGCAGGGGTGGGGGAGGGGGTTGAGCAGTGAGCACCACCCGGCACATTGGAAAGTTGGCATCTGTAGCTCCAGCCCCGGAATCAGCGCCTATGCAAGGAGCCGCATATTAACCTCTGAAGAGCTGCATGCGGCTCCGGAGCCACAGGTTGGACACCCCGGTTATAGGAAGACATTCTCTGTGAATAGGTGTTGGTTGAAGGTGGTCGTATCTACTTAACTCTAAATGTTAAAATAACAAACCTTACCTTTTAACACTTTAAGAAATCAGAACAGTTATGCTTTTATTCCTTCCTTGGATTTACTGGATTAAATTCCTGTACATTAAAACTCACTAAAAAGTAACCGGAAGATCATATTTATTCGTCAAGTTATTGTCAACTTCATTTGAAATTCTGAAAAGGGAAACTCTGATCCTAAAAAAACTGCTGCTTTTGCAGCCTTAAATAGTAAAATTAAAAACAGCTGCTAGTCTGACTTTGACTGCTATGAGTTTTGAAGCTGGGAGCCACAATGGTCTGCTGAGAGAATTCCAGAATTTCTGTTGGCCGGTGTAGTGAGGCAGAGTGGACTCCCTCTGGACTGGAGTGTGAGGGACCACTACACTCCCCTTGGTGGGCGAAGCCTCACTCACCCCGCACGCCCCTCGCTAGAAGGACTGGGGCGGGACAGGAAGTATGAAGAGAGGGCCCTGCAGGTCAGTTGAGTGGGAGCCAGCAGACTAGACGGACACCTGCTGCGGTGCCCAGGAGCTGAATCTGTGCTCTGCCACACCCTGCCCCTGGTGGAGACAGACCCAGATGAGGGGTTACTGGTACTACTGTCGGCTGTCTACCCAGAGGAGCCCAAGGACTGGTGGATACCCAGGTACCAAACCCTGGGGAGATAGGAAGTAGTCCAGGGGCAGCCGACGACTAGCTGGCTACAGGGCTGACCACTTCTAGGTTGGTGTCTTGCGGCTGGATCGCCACTGGCCCAGGGGCAGACCTCTCTGCCACTGCTAGGGCCCTGGGCTGGGACACGGTGGAGTAGGGCGGGCCTGCATCAGCCTGCCCCCCAAACCCCAGGGTGGCAGACTCCTCACCTTAGGCCAGGAAGCCCGTGCTCCCTGAACATCCCTGTCAGCACCCTAGACTGCCTGCTGGGTGCTCAATCCCTTTTGGAGCCCCCGAGACTGTGTGGGGTGCTCACCCCTACCTGAATCCCGAGACTGTGTGGGTTTGCTGGCTGCCTGAGCCCAAAGCCAGGCTAAAGCCTGCTCCCTGCTCTGCCCCACCCAAAGGGCTAGCTAGGGCTACAGACTCTGTATATTTGCTGGCTGCCTTGACCTGGAGGCATAGGCGATAGGTTTCTACTAGCTCAGCCCCGCCCAAGGGCAGGGGCCTCAGACTGTTAATTGGTGTCAGCCCCAGTTGAGTGGGCTGTAGGCTAAAGACTAGGTCAGAGTGCCCCCACCCAAGGGTGGGGACAGGAGCCTGGGCTATTGTTGTGTGGTTGCTTTTGTTACCGGATCCTGCCCGGGCAGCCTGAGCCTGAAGACTATTGCCCCTACAATGAGGCAGAATGACTTCCATACCTACTGGAGAGTGAGGGACCGCTACACTGGTCCCTGAGTTCTAGTCAAATTAATAGTTATAAGAGAAGAGGTATTACAAATAGGAATTGGTCTTTTTAAAAATTACAGTTTATTACCTGCAATTTGCTAAACATAAATTAGTTAGTATTTCAAATAGGGCCCTAGTACTACTATAGTTTGTAATTTTTAGATGTCTTCTTGGAATCATCCAAAATGTTAGAATCCAGATGTTGTAGAGATGGTGTTTGATTCATTAGCTGTGTAGTACCTCAATGAGAATTTGATTAATGTGCCTTATTATTTGTCAAGTGGAACTTCTGATTCAATTACATCTCATCAAAAGTATAGAGTATGCACCACAGTGAGTCGTGGATGATTTGAATGAGCACATTCTTTAACAAAATTAAACTTTCTTGTGAGCATTTCCCTGCACTGTAATGCTCTCTCTCTCATCTAAAAGTTTCTCGTGGGATCAGCCTCCCCGTTACAAGGTTCAGAAGGGCTGCAGCTAGCCAATCCTGATTACAAAATGAGTCACTGGCTCAGAGATCAAGATGATAGTGCTACAAAGAGCAGCAGGAGGCTGCAAAGAAGGGGAGAACCTCAGAAAATTGCAGAGAGACTACAGACAATATGAAGGGCTCCTGCAGCGAAGATCTAGAGACCAAGGGTGTTGGAGATGAGAGAAGCCCAGACAGCGAGGCTCCAGTGGGGAAACCTGGATGGAGTTTGGGCCTAAAAGTTTAACTTCAGCTAGGAAGAGCAGGGAAGATGGGCTGTGAGGAAAAAGAGCTCCAGCTGTGATTTTTTTTTTTTTGTGCTGATGGACTTTATTTTGGGACCCAGAGGAACGTTAAGAGCTATTTCTGTTGTTAAACTGGCCCCAGGCTGGGCTGGTATTAACCAGAGAGAAGCTCATGTGCAGTTGTTAAGGGGCCCTGGAGAGTGGAAAGAGAAACAGTGTGTCACAGAGGCCCCTTTGGCCACAAGGAGGTGCCCAGGAGTCGGCCCAACCTTGTTACACTCTCAATAGTGAGTACACAGTTGGTATTTTTAGCTCCATATCACATCCATATCAAAGTGCAGCCATAGCATATAACTGATTTCTAATGTGGTGCCTAGTACGGAGGACATCAGAAAAACAGAATGTTGTAAGAAGAATTATTGTGTAGAAAGTAGATAGAATATTTGTTGCAATAAGAATAGTCAGAATGGTTAATATGGCTGATTGCCAGGGGAGAATTCCTTTTTTAAGGCAAAAACAAACAGCAAAACTACCAGTACTCACTGTGGCTCCAATATTCCAATGTACATTTCTTAGTAACAGTGTTAATGCCATATTTGGATTCTAGGACCCAGATCCTGAAGAAGGTTTTGTGCTTGCAGTTCCTTACTCCCAACTGATTCTCTCATGGTTCTGCTCAGGTATTAAGGTCCACATTTGCAGCTCCCTTTGCAGGATCGTGCCCTTACACACTTATTTGTAAATAGGCATTTTCTACACCTGAAAATTATGTTGGAAAATTATTCAAACATAAGTTAATGTTTACAGCTCAGGTAACTTGGGGCTTGATCCTGCATGAAATATGTGGTGCAAATCAACACATAGCTTTGAAAAACAGGCTACACTCACATGCGAGTAAGTGCACAAGCTTGTCTTCCATAATTCACAATGAAGCAAGCCGCACAGAAGACAGGAGGATCAAGTCTATTGTG